ACCTGTGTGTGAGGTAATTCGACATTTTCATTCTTTCCCGCGTTAATAATCTTCTTTCCTTTTGTAAGAATGTAGACCACTTACAATGTTTCAAGTAATCCACCCACCCTACAAAAAATAACTCTTGCATGCATAGCATGCCTATGTTTTGAGACAGGTGTATGCCCTTGGCCAGACTTGAGCTCACTATTTCAGTATACTAGTCCGACACGCGTAGTATCACTACACTTGATTCCACGGATCCAGTACCATCCAGGTATCCCAGTTACCCTGCACACAGGGTCTAGTATGAAAGCTCAAACAGAGTGGAAAGAAACTCAGTAGATACAGTGAAACCTAAGTAAAACTCGACTCTTTTTCCTCTATAAAAGTATTTCTTAAAATGATAAATTTATTTCTTTTGACCTTTTCCTTAAATCAAGAGGTTTATAACAGAGATAGAGGTAGAGACAGAGATAGAGAAGGATCCTTAACACCAGAATCGACATGAGAAACTTGTCGTTGATTGAAGGATTCAGGTTTTAGAGTGTCCTGCTTATGATTGGTTCTTTGAATCACAGATAAATCTGAAGTGTCTTTCTGCTTTCTACCTAGTTCACATGGATGCTGGATCATAGGTCTATGGTTGCTTATGTTGCTTGATAATTAATAACTGATCATGACAGTGATGCTGCAGAGACCAAGTAAGGTACCTATATATAGTTAAAGAGATTTATATAATCCAAAATGAATCAAAAAGGCACAAAAGGTTATTCAAAGAGTAATCAAATGTAGTGGTCTCATATGTAATACTACTTTTCTAGAGTAGCCATGTTCTCCAGAGTCATCAATTGTTCCATGTTCGGAGTTGACTAAAGTGGTGTAAATTCCCTTAATATTAACTATGTATTGTTGGGGAGGGAATGGTAAAGAGGTGGTGCTAAGTGGATAGAACGCATGTATTTTACTCTGGTATTGATATCTGATTCTCACACTGAAAATCACAGTTATAGAAACTTGCAGCATGATTTCTATCATTTAAAAGTTATTTTCATTTTTTTCCCTACACATATAGTCTCCACTCTACTGTCACAATCTCTTCATATTTCCTTTGGGTGTGAATTAGAACTAATCAAGTGTGCATTGATAAAACGTCGTGAAAATGTTTTATGGCCCATGGCCCAGAGCTCTAATAATACAGTCAATGTCAATCAGTTGTGTCAAAAATTGAAGCAGTAGAATGTAGAGTCAGTCTACAGGTGTTGCTGATCATGTTGATCACTGTGTTCTGTGATTTTAATAATCAATTAGGGATTAAATTTCGCGTGATTGAATGTTTTTTCGCCGGTCCGAAATATTGAAGGATAAGAAACACAGTAGCCTCTATTTGCTCAAAAATATGCTCGTATATTTGTTCTTGGACAAAATCTGTTCCTCGAAGCTCACTTCTTTCCTTGCCATCAATTTTTTCGCTCCTTGAATTTAGCTAATTATTTTTGAAAGCGAACATGGATATCCATTAGAAATAAATGTTCCTCATTATAAACAGTAAATCTGAACCCAAACAACACACACAGAAAAATAATGTTTAATTTCCCATTTCCCACTTTTGGTTGTGGTTTCTACTGAAGCGTTTTCCACTGAAGTGTCTTGGAGTTTTATAAATGTGCGTGTCCGAGTTATTTTCGCGTTTTTTACGGAATGAGACGAAGTCAAGGTCCACTAAAACGCCCCCCCCCCCCTACAAAAAAATTAATAACCAGGAAAATACAAAAATCTAAAAATAATGAAAGTGGTTTTTTTTTGTAAGAAAAACGAGAAGTTAATTTTGCGCCAAGAGCAAGAGCTGAGTTTCCTTTTATGGATTTTTTTTTTTAAACGTAAATAAAACATGCCTTTTTTGTTTGTTTGTCAGATGAAAAACGAACACGTGTCGGTTGGCTTTCTTTCCCAGCGCTCGAAATAAACAATTTGATATTCTTGATTCTAATTACGTTTTAAAGTCCGCAGTCAGTCTTGCTTGGAGTCGAGTTCGACGGTGCACCAAGATTCTATATTCAGGACCTCTTCTTTTTCTTTTTTTAGTCTCCGACTACTTTGTTGCTGTCGGTGAGCATTTCCTTCAAGACTGAGAACTATATGCACCAAAAATCGTTTCCATGGAAATGACGCTCAGTGGTGGAATCTCCCAAAGAGGCCTGGTGTCAAAGCAGAAGGCCTGGTAGATTTCTTCTCACAAACGGGAGGAATATGGCATTCCATTTCATGCCTTTTTGTTACCGAACCTCTTCGGTTACCTTTTTCCTGCTTTAGCTTTCAGTTATTTGCAGGAGATTCTTTTTTTTATTATTATTATTTTGCAAAGGATGCATACGATTTATAAACAAACACACCCTCCGACAGGAATCGAACACTGCGTGTACTGTAGATTCTTTTTCGCCAGCTAAAAAAAAATCGTGTTGTGGCGGGAACATCACAGCTTCGTATCAGCGAGTTTTATGCCCAAGGCGAGGTAGGAGACGGGCTCCGTGAATCGTTTAATGGGGACTTCAGTTGTTGTACTATTGAAAATACCTCGCTCGATATCAGGTGTAGACATAAATGCACTATTATTTGAAAGCGAAATTCCCTTGGCAGTTAAACTATTTCCGACGTCTTTTTT